TAATTTGATTTTACTGATATCAACGTCGCTTTAAAAGTTTCACTAAACAGCGTTTGCGTTAGACCAACATGAATGTTCTTGTCCTCGGAACCTTTGTGTTTTCCATCCTTAAGCCATCCTCTATTAGGACCATGTGATATACTTCCACCGATTCTACTGCTCTTGTAAATATTTATCAGGTGAATCTGCCAAAATTTGAAAATCACGAAGATGTGTGCAAGACCATTACAAATTCGCATAGGTAAGTTAATATTCTTGGGAAGCTTGTCTACACTACGTGCGAGGAAATACGTCGTAACCAAATCCAGCCTTCATTACTACACGCAAATTATGCTTCAGGGATTTCTAACTTAGTCACACATTTCTATATTTAGCATCAGTTTGCTAATTTACAAGACAAGTGCAGACGGATTCTGCCAACTAATTTAGAGGTTAACCAAATGGTATGTATTTGGGGATGACTGGACAATATTGGACGGATGCAACATCCTGAATGTCGAGGTATGATGCAAGCGGCATTTGAGTGCAGTAACCTAATATATGAGTGAATTTCAAATATTTATCACTGCTTTTTTCTCATTGAACATTGTTTTGTTGTTTTATGGTAAACAAAGAACCATCGCCACAGCGAGCACATGACGGCGATCTGGATAGTGTTTTTACTGGTTGCTCTCATAAATCAACTCGACAATGTTTACTACATTCGAATGACAATGCCATTATTTTTGATGAAAAATGTACAAAGTCAAGCAAGTTCGCAAAATATCATTCTTGTTGCAGACGGAAATCAAGAGAATGATGTTACAGAAGTGCGATTTTAAAGTATTGTAACTGCATAAAATGACGAATCCTTGTCTTCCCTTTACTTTGTTTGAAAAGTAAAGAGGAGACAAGGATTACGTTGCGATATAGAACGAAATCGTACTGATATATTGCACGAGCGCTAAATGATCCTTTGGCTTACTAAAAAGCGGAAATTTCACGGTTTGGTTCAAAAACGCACATATCCTTAGAAAGGAAGGATGTTAATTGCATAGCGTTAGAAAATGCTGTAAAGCAGTACATGGATGCTTTGATAATTTCTGATTTGCCTTCCATATCTGCGGAGCGTTCTTTTTTCAAAATGTCTTGTAGAACCAGTAGAAATGCTCACATGTTGCGCTGACCCAGAACAGCAACATTAAAGCCCACAATGTGAGTAAATGCTATTGATTTCGCAATTTTGTATCTACTAATTGATTGCTATTGCAATAAATTTAAAGCAATTATCGTCGAGCCGTAGAGGCGTCTTCAGCAGAGAAAACTTCCCAACTTCGTTTAGAAAAGGTTTGCAGAGGAAAGATTGCAAGCTTCAAGTTTTACCTACCATTATGTCTTTTTTCAAATCGCAACTTTAATTAAGTATCCTTCCCTTATGAAGAAGTTTTTGGAACAGCTGAAGAGATAAAAGATTCTATCTTTGTAACGTAATAGAATCTTGCGGTTGGCTTTCTCACAAATACGATAATTACCTCGAAATATTTATTTTCCAATATTGATAGTAAAAAAATAGTATTTTGAGTTTAGAATGTTTTAAAAGTTTGCACAAACGCTTCTAAAGCAGCAAAAAGGTACTCAATGTTGTAATAATTTTATGTTCGACAAATCCGCTTTCACGCCACCAATATGATGTAGCGAGCTTGAAGTACACTATTGCCTTTGAGAGAATTGCGTTTTGAAATTTGCAAAATTTATCCTCAAATTTTTGCTCTTAAATTCTGCCCTCCCATCACTTTCTATTCACATTGGGCTGAACGCTTGCCATCTTTGCGTCAAATAAATTCTTTATTTTACTGGGATAAGAAGGGGGTTTCTCTCTTGACCCGGTAAATTGTTCCTCCTTAATCATTATTAATATCCTTAAGAATGCGTATGAATTTGTAATAGCGCTTAATACGATTAAGAATTACTTCTTTTTACAGAATCAGAATTCTAAGAAACTCTCAGCACTATTTTTACTCATCTTCAGAGCATTAAAGTTCTATTTTTCAAAACGTGTTTATCTGCGCTTGGCTTATAGGTAGCGAAGAAGCATTACTGGGTATGTTTCCCCTATTGCTGTTTTTTTTCTCAAGATTTTGAAATAGAGGAGCAACGGTTCTCCAGAATAAGGCAAACCCTAACGAGTTCAAAAGCGTAGCGTAAGTTATAAGCAAGTGGAAAACATCTCAGA